GGGCTGCCCAGGGAGGTGGAGGAGTCACCATCCCTGGAAGCATTCAAGATATATGTGCATGTGGCACTGGGATACATGGGTTAGTGGGCACTGTGGTGGCAGGTCAGTGGTTGGACTAGATGATCTTAGAGGTTTTTTCCAGCCTTCATGATTCTGTGATTCTGTAATTCCTTTATTCTAGGTGTAGTTAGAAGAAGTACACATCTCTATCTCCCACAACAAAAAAAAAGTATGTGGAAGAAAAACTTTGTATCTTAATCTGTATACCCTGAAACTTCAAGATTTGCTTTAAATCTTCTTCTTTTTCCTTTTTTTTTTTCTTTTACTCAGAGGAATCAGACATCTACTTTTTGAAACAGTGTCTTAAGGAACAGGCCAACAAAGCAGAGGTGATGAGGGGATGTCCAAGAGTTCTTCAGTCGAGGGTGCGCTGAAGTGCAAAAAAAAAAACCTGGCAAGTCACTGACCTGGAAAATACAGACAAAAGAAATAGGAATATAATAACGCGCTCTCAGGATGGGGTCAGTTTTTTATGCATTGAGTATCACACAGACATATAAAATTTGTGCCATCTACAGACGCTACAGAATATTTTGACCATTCAGTGCAGGTATCTAGCCTGATAGCTGAATTATCATGGTTTTGCACTTATCTTTTAAATGAGCGTTAATCAGATTAAGCGACAAGATGGAAGAGCTTTTGATCAAGTGTTCAGTGTCTGAGTTGTAAAGATGACATTAGACTCCTTCCTTCAAAGCGTTCCTCTGAGATGTTACAGTTACCACAAAGAAATCAGTAATTAAAACCAAAACTAATACTTTCAATATGAGATAGGGGGGAAACCTTAACACCATCTGAATTGCACAGTTTTCTTGAAAAATGAAAATTACAAAGCTGCAGGTTTCTCTTGCTTTGCTCTTTGATGTTGTATGCCTTCTTTAAAAAAAAAAAACAAAAAAACCCACTTTGCACATTATTCTCTGAACAGACTTGAATACTAGACTAAAACCTATTTTATTTTCCTGAAAGTAGAGATGATTACGTGAATAAACTCAGTTGTGAGTTTGACAAGCTTTGGCTTGAAAGGAAGATGAGCAGTGGAGCAAGCCAATAAATATATCCAATTTAACCTTCCACCTTCTCAGTAACATATAAAGCCGGTAAAGGAAAGAGTGTGGGTTAATTTCACAAGGATGTATTGCCCCTTTAGTGTAAATAGCAAGTGAGAAATTACAAAATAATAGAAAATATACTGTGGAAAGAAGAGAACATTTCAGGCATTTTACAGATGCTGAAGTTGTTTGACCTCTCAATTTAGCTGTCGCTTGCAGCCTACCTTTTCTGTGATACAGCCCAAGAAATCAAACATCCTGGAGGGATATCACATGCAACTGCAATCAACGGAGTGAAGTTCGAGTCAGCTTGCCTTCTCTAATTATAATTTCATGTGCTTGTTCCTATGAAAAGACTTGACCCAACCATGTTAACACCTGTGCCCCTTGAATGCTGAGGTGCCCACCTCTATAACGAAAACAAGGTGGAAGACAGAAAGAGAGAAACCAGAACTGCTGCAATTAAAAATGGTATGGGAATGATGTCAGGAAACATGCAGTCTTTACTGTACTTCTCAGAGAAGAGCTAATGTCTAGAAAGGACTCCTAGAGACAGTGCTATTCTAATAATATCACCTATTCATTCTGGTTGGATTTATAATAAAGCGATATTACCTTAAGAAAATTGTTTCGTGAAGCTATCTGTCTGCAATTATACACACTCATATTTGGAAATAGTTACTTATTCTGAGGATAGTTTCCATGACATTTCTCCCATTTATCGTATACAATCTTTCTGAAATGAGGTCAGGCAGAAAAATATACGTGAATTCAGCAAAATAAAATAAAATAAAATAAAATAAAATAAAATAAAATAAAATAAAATAAAAAGTATTTTTTCCAACTCTCCAGCTACTTTATATCCACTGGAACTTATTTTTGAATCTTATACAAAGGATTCAATCATACAAAATGATTTCCTTCAAATCTGTACCTACAAGTGAGAACCTGAACTTTCCAAAAGATATTAAATCAAGAACACCAGCACTAGGGAAAATCTAAAGCTAAATTTTGGGAAATATTCAAAAACAGTAAAGTGGAATTTGGTATAAAAATAGCACTGGATTTTCCAGCAAAATATCCAGTATTTTCTTTTTTTAAGACATACTTGGAAATATGCAGAGAAGGACATTTGTGTGTCCATCCACTTGAACAATTTTATGTTTCTCATTCTGAATAAAGTTTTTGATCTTTTCAGTGTGTCAGCAGCTTGTGGAAGAGTGAGGAAGGTCTTATTTGGTTTAACTCAGTCCAAGTTTTCTGCATAGTGTAGAAACAGTCCTCAAGAAATATGAATGTATGTTGTGTAAAGCAGAAAAAAGGTGTCTGGAAATTAGACATTTCTTACTTGTACATAGCTAAGTAGACTTCTTCAAATTCTTCATGAATCATATATATGTAAAACAATGCGTGCTAAATAACAAGCAATTTGGTCCCATGCTCCTTCTACACATTTCAATATGGTTTTCCTAGGGGGAATCTTGTTTTTTCTCTGCAGAGAACTGACAGCAGCCTTTTTCTAGTGAAACCAACGATATAAGCAGAGGGGGCTATGAAGGCCTATGTAACATATGATATAAGCAGAGAAACTCTTACAGTGATGTTTGAGTATCTGATGATAGTTGACATGATTTTGCTGATCATAGCTTCTCAGATAGGCATGTATTACTTAATTTTGTGGGTGAAAAAGATTAGATAAAAAAAAAAAAAATTGGCAAATTTTTCAAGGTAAGAGATTAAGGGTCTGGAGCATCTCCCCTATGAAGAAAGGCTGAGTGAACTGGTTCTGTTTAGCCTTGAGAAAAGAAGACCGAGAGGGGATCTGATCCAGGTCTATAAATATCTAAGGTGTGGGGGTCAGAGTGGCGAGGCCGAACTCTTTTCAGCAGTGTGTGAAGACAGGACAAGGGGAAATGGCAAGAAACTCGAGCATAGGAAGTTCCTCACAAATGTGCGAAAGAACTTCTTTACGGTGAGGGTGACGGAGCACTGGAACAGGCTGCCCAGGGAGGTGGTGGAGTCTCCTTCTCTGGAGATATTCAAGACCCACCTGGACACCTACTAGTGTGACCTGGAGTAGGGAACCTGCTTTGGCAGGGGGGTTGGACTCGATGATCTCTGGAGGTCTCTTCCAACACCTATGATTCTGTGATTCTGTGATTCTGTGATTTGGGATGAGTCTAAGGATGGATTTGATCCACACAGCCATCCTTTATAACAAACTCATACCCTTAGTCTAGGTTACAACCTTGAACAGTTGTATCCTGAAGCACAAAATATTGCAGGTGTTAAAAACTTGACACCACTATCGACACCTCAGCACCAGGGACTATATTGCTATTTTTTCTTATATCAGCACTTGCAAGAGTAACAAGCCAGACTTAGCAGGGCTTTGTTGCTGACAGAATAGGTACCAGGATATGACCTTATGATATTTCTTGCCACAAGAAAGTGGTGATTTTCTCTATATCTAATATATTTCCAGGCCACTGGTATGAGCAAATGAGAATTTTCCCCTCTATATATTTTCAAAATTGCTTACTGCTTATACTGACTTTTACTATCTGCATACTCATCTATTTTGAACTGTCTGAAAGAGACAAATAGTACAAAAGTAAACTGTCTCCTCTGTTTCCAGGGCTCTGAGAAAACTTTCGCATAGAAGAAAATTTAAATGGTCAAATTCCATTTGAAAATTGAAAAGTCACGTAAGATAAGGACACTGCAGCTTTCATGGAACTCATGAAGCCCACCTTCTCTTTTTATGTAAAAATCTAATGCCAAAACACAACATCCAACTTCTTTTTCTGATCTTCTTCCTTTAGCTCTCTACTTGATGAATTGAGGTGGTATTTGTAAGGATGAACATGTTGTTTTGAACTAGTTTTGGCATCTACTATCTTTATTCCTTTCTCCCTATTGTGACCAGATCCTTCACTGCCTCAGGATCTACCTTCATTCTGGCAATATAAAGAAAATTTGAAAGTTTTTAATTTGCTTACTATAAAATGAGTGGGATTCGTTTACAATTATTCAGATGTCTAGCTATATTTTAGATCTAAGTGTCTATGCGAAGTTTCTCTCTACTAACAGCTGACCAACATCTCATCAATAAATGCCTACTACATTTCTGGTATTGAAATCTGTAAATCCTGTTACAATAGTGCACCATCACACATGTACAATATGCAGTCCCTGACAATGTAAGTGTCTTACCCATGCCCAATCCATTGTGATCAACTCCCACTTCTTGAAGCATAAACTCCCCCTACTTTGCCCTAGTTAAGCCTAGTTCAGGAGAAATGGTTTTACCAGCTTACCATAATATCTCTAGAATTATCCATGGGGTTTGATTATCAAACCACACAAAAAACATGAGCTCAGAGAGGCTGGTAATTAGTAAAAGATAGATTTTTCCTAGAACTTTTAGATACAGTAATTGAAGAATAGCTAATAAGATAAAGAGGGCAGGGACTAACATCATCAGAGTTTAAAGCAGGTTTTTTTAATTTATGACAGAGACACGTTTAGGAGCTATATGCAGTCTGAGCAGATCTTGAAGAAAGGGTTAGAGAAAGACCAGGTTGTAATAGTCACCTGGAGATACTTCAGCTCAGATCACCAGTGAGAGAGTTAAAAGATGAAGACCTGAGGAAAAATAAAATAAAATAAAATAAAATAAAATAAAATAAAATAAAATAA